GAAGGTATTTTTGTATATTTGTGAGAAAGCCGAGAGCCCAAACAGAGTCCACCTGTAGAGTGGAGTAATCTCCTACAGCCAATAGGTAATAGCTGGAGGTAAGTACAAAAAAAAGCATTAAATAATATGCTGGAAATATTCGTTTCACACGTTTCTTGTAGAAGACCAAAAAGCTTGTTAAAGTAAAGCTTTTTTCTCTTAGCAAGATCATTGTGATAAGATAGCCAGAAATAACAAAGAATATATCAACGCCAAGGAAGCCATAAGGAAACAGCTGAGGGTACAGATGGAAGGCAAGCACATAGATTATGGCAAGTCCTCTAAGGCCTTGAATATCTCTGCGTTTGTTAGAATTTACCTTTTTATCGGAAACGCCTTAAAAAACTGTAAATTTTATAGTAACCAGGCATTTATTAGATCAAATTCTAGACTAAAATTGTTCGCCTTTTGACTTATTTTTTTGAAAAATTTACGTATCTGCTATCGATTATGATAAATTATTTTAAATAGTAATTGGTAAAATTTCTTTCAGATTACTGGACTGTTAAAGAGATATTAATAATTTTTTAACGAATAATTGTCAAAATTGTAGTGCAAACTATAATTTCGACAACTACTTGACCTCTGCCCCTCTGCTAAAAGCCATTTTTACTCATTTAAAAATTTTTGATGGAAATATGCTGAAAATGTTCGCTTGACACGTTTCTTGTCGAAGAACAAAAAGGTCTTTAAAGTAAAGCTTTTTTGTTTGAGGAAGATCATTGTGATAAGATAGCCGGAAATAACAAAGAATATATCAACGCCGAGGAAGTTAGAAGGAAACACCTGAGGGTGCAGATGAAAAGCAAGGACATAGATCGTGGCAAGTCTTGCTGGTTATTTTTTTTTTAGTCAAACACACTAGAAGTGACAAATATCTAGCGTTTTCATTCTTATAGTCACAGTTTACAAGATTAACTCGATTTGGTCTGTTCTATTTTTCAGTTAACTAAAAGTCGTAAGTTTTTTAATAGAGATTACCTGTAGCGTGATCTTTCATCTCCTCATTATCGGTAATCATCCTCTGTCAGATTAGGGATAGTTTTCGTTCAACGATGCCTCAAAGAAGTGGTTTTTTTGTTGAATATTTGAATGTGGTACTAAAATTAGATTTCAACACTGAAAAAAGCTCTTCTGTTAGCCACTATAAACTTTTCCTTTATAAACGCACAAGCGACCTTAAGCGTTTTTTCTGGTTTTTTTCTGACAATTGCAAATGGTAAAACTACAGTTATTCCAAGAAGTCTCAAAACTGAAAACTTTGAAACACGGAAATCGTGAAAGTTTTAGATGCGTTTTTTTAATAGTTTTTCTTCAGTACAAGGTTAAACCAAAGATTAATTTCTGTGCACTGCAGCGCTGAACTGCACCTTGTGGCTTTCAGACGTCATGCGTTTGTTCCATGAAAAATGCATTTGTCCTGCAACACGAAACATCATTTCAGCTTCTCCGCTTTCATGTATATAAAAGAAATTTACAGTGACGCTCCAAATAAACCATTTGTAGATGACTTTTTAAAAAAAATACGACTGTGCAGAATGCAACTGTTACACCAAAGTCTTTTTCCCGCTTCAGAAATTTACGATAAATTGTGACCAATTTAAAATTTGTGATTTTAATTTGTAAATTTAAAGACGTCTGACCTTTTATAACGTGTGCCTTCATATCGCTTTCATTTTGCTGTCTTTCTATCCTCACGGCAGCGAGTCTTTACACAGCTGCTCTAACATCATTTCATTTGTCTATCACCCGCTTTCCCAAAGTTTCTGTTCTGGTGAAGTAGTAAAAACCGAAAAAAGTCAGAAAATTAAAAGAACATACATTGTTATCAATCAACATTCAAAATCATTTTATGTAACCGTTGTTTGAATGATCTGCATTTGTTTCAACTCAAAAACTACTTTACAAGATGATTTGGTGATCGATTCCTCTGGTAATTTTTCAGACATTTTTTTTTGTTGAAGAGATCGGTAGCACCATTTTTTTGCTAAAATGTGGCAATAATTTCCACTGCTATCTAGATCAGACATCGCTTGATTGACTGCAAGATCTATGCGCTTGGTGGGGTTTTGAAAACCTGAGCAGCGTTTATAAAATGATATTAGATGAAAAAAGCGCACATTAGTTGATTTATAAAAGAAAAGTTTTTTGAATTCGAAACCGATAATATTTTTTCTTGCGTGCCACTTAGTTCATGACTGTTAACTCTTTAGACAATCGCAACCGAAAAAGAGGTAAAGTGTGAGTAAAAGAAAGAAACTGGTTGTAACAAATGACTAAAATAATTAAGAAACCACAATTCTGTAAAAAATAAAGTAAAATGCTTGTGAACATTGGAAGAAAATATAAAATACAAATAAGGATAGATGTAGCAAAGCGTGGTATATAAATTTTAGGCTGTTG